TTGTGATTTCGTATTCTGTCTTTCCTTGAAACTCCTGCAGCTCTTCTAAGGCATTTCATCTCTGTTGTCACAATTTTACGTTCATTAGAGGATGTAAGTGTCCACGTTTGGCATTGATAGCATAGTGTTGGCCAAAAAATAGTTCTGATAAGATTCACTTTAGTACTCCGAGGTATCTGCTTGTGTGTCAACAGGGTTAGTTGCCCCATTACTTGATTAGCTTTAGCACATCTCGAGCTAATTTCTTTGTTCAGTTTTTGATCGGAAGTCAAAAGGCTTCCAAATACTTGCACTCCTCTGTTTGTCTTAAGGCATTGTTTTTTAAATTTTATTTCCAAATTGTCTTTCTGTCTTCCTATCACTACTGTCTCTGTCTTCGTAGTGTTTTTTCTCACTTTATACTCATTCCATTTGAGAATGACAACCTTGCATAAAGTGACACAAATTCAGTATGAAGCCAGAGGCTGAAATTACAGCTTTTTGATAGCTAGAGGGTAGTACAGCTTGAAATGAATTTGTAACAAAGTACAGAATGCTTTGGAAATCACAGGTAGAAACTGATATGCTATAATTAGAGGCGCTTGTCAAGACTCATCATGCAACCCCCACCCTTCCACCAAGGAACTGTAGGTGTGCAGAGAAGTGAGCAGGCTGAAAAACTGACAGCGACCTCTAGACGGTGATGTATGCCTGAATGAGGCGGACATGTCTTAACTGTCTAGGATCAGGTGCATGTAGTAGTGGCAGAGACACAGCATCCGTACCTGAACCCGAGGATAGTTAGCAGAGGATCTATATCAAACACAGCGCAACAGGTGAGCTTTCAAGTAACAATACTCAATACACAAGGAAAAGGATTGGCACAGTTTCAGTTAGATTGCACCATTGACCACAGCACAAGAATTCTTTGGATAATGAAGGAGACGAAGCATGTGTAGCTGTGTTCTGAGTGAAGTGATGGCCATTCTTGAATTATTCATTCGTGAGTAATGTACTATTGTACTATAGCTAACAGCAAAAAGACACCCTAGAAGTGTTCACTGACCCCCAGTGGAACTTTTCTTCTTCTTCTTTGCTCACCGGCTGTAAACTCCAGTGGAAAGTCCTGGTTGTTCATCCATGTGCACTTTGGCTTTGTGCCAGGGTCTGAGTTTTGGGTGCACATCTGTTTTACTGGCTTATTTGTGTGCAGCTGGTTGTGAGTTGGAACTCAAGTTTCTAGAGATGTTTGCGGCAGTGTGGTGTGTTTCCCAGTCTCTATCAATGGAGGTGCTGTTTAGATTTCTCATGTTTCAGTTACAAGATGTGGCATTTCTCAAAATGTGAACATTTGTTTCAAGAACCCCACAATACAATGAGTCAACCATCCTTTCAATGGTGAATCCAGAAGAAGGAGAATCTCACACTGATAAAGTAGTGCTATTTTTAATTCCAATGTATAACAACACATGCTAAGAAATGTCTTTAATAAAGATATGTATTGGCTATTAACTGTATAAATAAATATTAAAATGCTGCATATAAAATAACACAAGCAACAATACAACAACATACCCAAGTGAATTTTTTTTGACAGAATGCGACATTTTCAAAGACACAAGATGAAATCAATTAGGTCTAAAAACCACACGGAAAAGATAAAAATAAATGAGAAATTAACCAGGTAAACAATAATCTAGTTTCCCTTGCTGAAACCTCACTCCAAAATATGGAGGCATTCATGAAGGCAGAAATTTAGACTAAAATGGGGGAAAAGATATATGAACATTGGAATCAAAAGACAAGAGTTGTCAAAGTACTTGGAAATTAAAGGAGTGAAAACTAGTATCAAACAAACTATTTAGCTATATCAGATAGCCCTATTATAATTTGAGACCTCCTAGCATAAGACAGTTTAACAATTAGAGACACTCCTTACATAAGACAGGTATACAATTTGAGACACTCCTAGCATAAAACAGGTATACAATTTGAGACATCCTCTGAACACCTAGTTGCATTAAGTAGTATTTTAGTATATTATATCACATCAACAACATTATAAGAATATCAAAGCAATGTTCCCTGTTGTAAATATGAACAAAGATGAGACACAAATAATAGACAGCACAGTTTACTGCATGGCATAATTGTCAGGTGAATAATTCAGTAACAATTTATTTGCTTCATTTCATCATTCTAAAGTCAGCCCTTGACAAGATGCATTTCAATATGTCAGGCAATCAATTGTGCAATTTATTGTTGTGTCTCCTTTGTTCAACGGATAAGAATAGGTTATTGACAACCAAGCAAACATATTTTCATAAGAATTAAAGCAAATGTTTTCTGTCATCATCATGTAATGAGCCTAGTAATGTGGGCAAACATTTCCTCCAAATGCCTCATGCCATTGATTTATTCTGATTGCACAGGCCAGAATGAAAGCTGACTGCAAGGATCTTGGACAATCTTGTCTCCTGCTCAACCTGTATACTCTGAAAGACTGCTTTTATGTCCACATCTCTGGATTCTATCTTCCCTCCTGCGTTACTATTTCTTGTCCGCCAATCTCTAACATGTAGGCATGCTCTTGTAAATGTTCACCGCTTGAAGCAGATGGTCTTACTTCTGATCTGGTTGTACCCAAAATTATTTAACTCCATCCATATTTATGTGTACAACAGATGAGCTGCCACACTAATGCACAATCTGTCATCTCACACACAGTAACAGACATACGTTCAATAACTTTACTTCAGCCACAACAACTTTACTTCAGCCACAACAACTTTACTTCAGCCACAACAACTTTACTTCAGCCACAACAACTTTACTTCAGCCACAACTTTACTTCACCCACAACAACTTTACTTCACCCACAACAACTTTACTTCACCCACAACAACTTTACTTCAGCCACAACAACTTTACTTCACCCCCAACAACTTTACTTCAGCCACAACAACTTTACTTCACCCACAACTTATTTCATACAATGCAACCCTACATTAAAACATGCTCACACATCTGGGTCTGACTTCCTCACAAGTGGACAGGACCCAATCAATCAATCACACATCTGGGTCTGACTTCCTCACAAGTGGACAGGACCCAATCAATCAATCACACATCTGGGTCTGACTTCCTCACAAGTGGACAGGACCCAATCAATCAATCACACATCTGGGTCTGACTTCCTCACAAGTGGACAGGACCCAATCAATCACACATCTGGGTCTGACTTCCTCACAAATGGACAGGACCCAATCAATCAATCATACATCTGGGTCTGACTTCCTCACAAGTGGACAGGACCCAATCAATCAATCACTCAACTCACACATCTGGGTCTGACTTCCTCACAAATGGACAGGACCCAATCAATCAATCATACATCTGGGTCTGACTTCCTCACAAATGGACAGGACCCAATCAATCAATCATACATCTGGGTCTGACTTCCTCACAAGTGGACAGGACCCAATCAATCAATCACACATCTGGGTCTGACTTCCTCACAAATGGACAGGACCCAATCAATCAATCACTCATCTGGGTCTGACTTCCTCACAAGTAGACAGGACTCAATCCATCAATCACTCAATCAATCTGGGCAATCTTTACAGTGAAGGCGAGCTGCAATCAACTGTCATCACTTTTTCTCTCAAGTTACTAACTCTCTCAGATTGTTCATTCCTCTCTTGATACCCCCCGTTTCTCATACAAACTATGTACTCTTTAAAACCATTATAATTTAACCATACAAACCACAATCATGGTAAGTATACACACAGACACTCCCAACTACTCAGGCATACACAAGATGTGTTTGCAGACTCAACAAGAACAAACCAAACACTGGCCACTTCTCTGCTTGCAGTCTGGATATTGTGTGATCTTCTCATCCATCAATCTGAAAGCAAACACACGAAACATGATTGAGGCTGTCTCATAACACAGATGTTAACTGAGGACTGTCTCATAACACGGATGTTAACTGAGGACTGTCTTATAACACAGATGTTAACTGAGGACTGTCTCATAACACGGATGTTAACTGAGGACTGTCTCATAACACGGATGTTAACTGAGGACTGTCTCATAACACAGATGTTAACTGAGGACTGTCTCATAACACAGATGTTAACTGAGGACTGTCTCATAACACAGATGTTGACTGAGGACTGTCTCATAACACAGATGTTAACTGAGGACTGTCTTATAACACAGATGTTGACTGAGGACTGTCTTATAACACAGATGTTGACTGAGGACTGTCTCATAACACAGATGTTGACTGAGGACTGTCTCATAACACAGATGTTGACTGAGGACTGTCTCATAACACGGATGTTGACTGAAGACTGTCTCATAACACAGATGTTGACTGAGGACTGTCTTATAACACAGATGTTGACTGAGGACTGTCTCATAACACAGATGTTGACTAAGGACTGTCTCATAACACAGATGTTGACTGATAGGATCAACTCATATGAACTGAAAATAATTTGTCTCTTTCTGACTTTTCTTTACCCTTCATCCCCAAACAGGACATAGGCATTCCAAAAACTCAGGCGATGTTCTCCCATCTTTTGCCTTGTCATGACCTATAACTTTCCTACATTACTGACCGCTGTAGCTGATCCTCTTCTCCATATGTTTTTGGTTTTCATCGTTTCACCTGTGGGTTCTAGAGAAAAGACTTTCTAGCTATCCGATATTCAAGTTTTCTCGCTGTGTGTCCTATCCATTTTCATCATTTTTATTTGATCTCTTTATTCACCTGAATTTGTTTAGCTCTCTTCAGAAGTTTACTGGGTGATTCTGTCATACCATTAATTCCCTCTATGTTGTCCAGGCAGTAGTTTATGTTTGTAGTTGATTAGTCAGTGAATAAAAAATGTTCTACTATTGGTTATTTCCTTCTACATGTTAGCATACAAAAGGAATGACAGACACAAAGAAATGTTGAGTGAGATGAAAGAAAGGCTTACCTACACAACTAGACCACATGTTCATCACTTGCTTGCTTTCTCCACCTGTGACCCGGCCACTGCCAGAACCTGTTCCCCTGTCCCTGGAATAGACAAGTCATCAGCATTTAACTTTCATGTTTTTTTTTCTTATCATCAACTTGTTCTTCCAGAAAAGCTAACTGGGGCAACAAATACCCGCAGAAGCCAGATGTGTCAGCTCTTCCAGAAAAGCTAACTGGGGCAACAAATACCTGCAGAAGCCAGATGTGTCAGCTCTTCCAGAAAAGCTAACTGGGGCAACAAATACCTGCAGAAGCCAGATGTGTCAGCTCAAAGATCACAGCCATGTTGTAAACGTGCACAGCGTATTAACATTTTCGGATGAATGCTGGTGTTGAGAAAAACTAGCAGGCAGATAGACTGGCCGGTTCTGCACCACTTAGTGGTGAACTGATGTATGACAAGCTTGATGTTGTGAGGGCCTTTTGGGAACGAATAAACAGTGAGGCGACAAGAACAGATCATTACAGTCTGAGGAGAATGGCGCTGCAAGGAGTTACCAGGGGATCTGGCTGACGCTCAACACTCAAGGAAAAGGCGAGACAGATATACAATCAGACAGTTATTGTTACCATCAGAATTGGAACTCTTTGCTTGCTGTATATGGGGACGGAGGGCTTATGGGAGTGTCCCGAGTGCTGTGATGTCCATTTCTAATTCAACACTGGATGAATGCAGAAGAAGAAAACTTCTTTTGTTTTACATGCAAGTAGTTTGGAATAACACTGATTTAGTGGGCTGCTGCTTCTTGCTTTGCTCCCTTGCAGACGGTAACCCAACAAAAGATGTCCAGCAAACTTCTTGCTAAGTCTGCATGTTTATCGTGGTAAAGTATGTGGACAAAGCCATGAGTGTGTTTTTTCATTCTGTTGTGCCACATGTACAATATAAAGATGTGAGCTGGATTTGTGGGAACAGAATTTCATGGACCATGTTGCATGGAGGAGGACAATCAGGGAGGGAAAAGGGACAAACAATAAACAAACAAACAAACACAATGTCATTACCCATGTCGCCAGAAACTGTTTCAAACTCTCTGAGGCTGCCTGAAGAGTTCTGCTGCAAATAAGCCACTTCTGCTGCAGTTAAGGGCTCTCCAAGTTTTTTCAAAGCCATGAGGATTTCCACCGACTGCTGCGCTGCTTGCTGTTTGGACAACTTGCCAATCTTCTCGTCTCTACTAATCTGCAAACGGAACAATTATCAACTGGTCTATAAAATATATGTCTAGCCTTATATGCCTAGAATGCCATAAGGTGTGGAAAATGGCCATTTGCTTGTTTGTATAATTCTCAATGTGGGTGCCGGAGCCCTATTTTAAAGGAACACATTCGACCCACTGCCCTCCCCCCTCCAAAGTATGTCGACTAATTAAGGATGTTTCCTGTGAAGTCAGGGTACACCTACCTAAGAGGGGAGGAACCAACAGTCTGCATACAAATAAAACAGGTCTGTAAAATGGATTTGCAGCTAAAACTCAAGTTCTAGAACAAGACCAAGGTCCAGAAGTGGGTGAGCAACCAGAACTTTCTGCTGAAGTTGACAGCTGGTCAACGGTAAGAAAGAGAAGTATTTCTGCATTAACAAAGACTTTTAGCCGAAACGTTCCTTCTGCAGACTTGCAACTTTGTCCAAGGTCAGTTGACTTTTCCACTTTCCACCTTTTTTTCAAAAATATCATCTGCTTTTTCTTCTGCCCTTTCTCCCCCAGCGGAGCATAGGCATCCAACCATCTTCCGCTACTGTCCTTTGCGATCAGATGCAGCTCACACCACGTCCTTCCTATCTTTCTTAAATTCCCTCTGTAGCTTCCTTCCCTATGTATTTTTTTTGGGTCTGCCTCAATTTCTATGCCCTTGTGAGTTCCAGTGTATAGATATCTATTTATTCTGCTTTCAGGAGTTTTCAATGTGTGTCATATCCAACGCCAGCATTTTTTATCCATCTCCTGATTCAGTGGAATTTTTTTTTAGTTTTATCAAAATGCTCCACATTTGTTATTGTATCATACCATTTAATTGCCTCTGTTTTGGGCAGTAGGATCGCTTTTATTCACTCCTTGAATATATTCAGTTTGACCTAACCCCAGTTTGCACTACAGCGTCTGTGGCTAAGGCGTTGCAAAACCCACTGCGGGCTGCGTGGATTTTTATCGTGGTATATGGACGTCGCAGGTCGATTCAGCCTCAAATGGGTACCAGGATGGCTGTCCTGGGAAAGTAAAGACGGCCGGCGTAATGCTGACCACATTACCCACCGAGTGCCGATTGGTCTGTAAAAATATGGGTGCTCTTCCCATTTGCCCAATGCGCCCAAGGGCGTGTAAAGGGATCTTTACTTTACTACTTTTACTGTTTGCACCACCTTTTACCCCTGACTAACAAAAACATGATCTCACTTTAAGTGCAACAGGAAATTACAAAACCGTGTCTTGGCAAATACTAGAACAGAAGCATAGCTGAGGCACCTGTAAAAGGTCAATAAAAGACTCAAAACCTTCAGGATAGTGGAGATACTGGACCAGCTGAATACTGTGCTGGTAGGCTGGTGCTCTATCTGTGCTGGTAGGCTGATGCTCTATCTGTGCTGGTAGGCTGGTGCTCTATCTGTGCTGGTAGGCTGGTGCTCTATCTGTGCTGGTGGGCTGGAGCTCTATCTGTGCTGGTAGGCTGGTGCTCTATCTGTGCTGGTGGGCTGGAGCTCTATCTGTGCTGGTAGGCTGGTGCTCTATCTGTCATCCCACCAATGTTCGTCAATCAACAGAAAGCCAAAGTCGAGAGGACTGATTTCACAGGGCCCCATTTATCCTAACTGGCAAGGCCTCTGTTGGCAGACTAGCAGTTTTTGACTGAAAGCATTGCACAAAGCACCAACTCCACAGCTTTTGTGACAATCTCTTGGAAATAAACCAGTCAACCAAATGAATTACTGCCAAATGATCCCACAACCTCCAGAGCTCTAGGCAAACGGTTTGAACCCTTCACCACACGGATTGCCAATTAACACTTTAGACAAACAGATAATATAAGGTTCGACTATTAGGTAATGAGACTGATTTTATTATGGCCAAGACAAAAATGCCATCTATGAATCAAAGCATAGAATCCAAAGAGGCAACCTTCGTCTATGATCTGGCAACTTTTCATCGCCGCCCAATAAGCAGACAAGCAGCCATTTTGTTAACATAGTAAGAGATGCATTGTTACGTAATCAGCATGGAGCAAAAAAGCTGACAATAAATTCTGTTTAAAACTCACAAAAAGCGCCATTGCAACAATTGAATTGATGTGACAGGTTTATGGGGATAATTATTTATCTCGTGCACAGATTTGCAGCTAGTATTCACGATTCAATAGTGGTGTGGAAATGATTGTTAATGCAACTAGACCTGGGCGCCCAATTTCTGTTCGTAATGAGGAACTCATTGCAAACTTTGGAGAACGGATTCAAGTAGATCGTTGTTCGACTGTGAGGATGATGATAGATGAATTTGGTGATAATAAAGAGACTATACGTAAAATTTTAGTGGAACATTTGGGAAAGGAAAAAGTTGCTTGTTGGTTTGTATTCAACACCTGGCATTTTTTTCCTTTTTTATGACAATGCACCAGCTCAAAGGGCGGTAGTTGTACAGGAATTTTGGGCCCTAAAACAGATGTGTGTTCTCAACCATCCACCCTATTCTCCTGATTTATCTCACTTTGAATATTTATTTATTCCCAAAATGAAGGGTGCCATGAAAGGACACTTCTATGCGATAGTGATGGCATCCAAAGGGCCGTAACATCCATTACAAGGGCTATAACGATAGAAGAACTAGAGAGGTCGTTCCAGTGTTTGTTAGATCGTGCCACTTGCTGTATCAATGCACAAGAGCTTTACTTTGAATAAAATACAGGTTATATCTTCAGCTGTTAATTATTTTTATGGAATTAGTCTCATTACTTAATTGTCAGATCTTGTATTGCTACCACTTTCAAACAGTGACTTCTTACATCAGCCAGTCTGGTTCTCAGCTGTCCAGGCTGCTTCTTGGCAAACATTCGAATCACCTCTGGAGTCTTAAATGCTTCACTGATGGCTGCTTGAATTGCCTGGTAAGATGAAACAAGTGATACAAATTATGTGAAAACCCCCTCAAAAATGAGGTCAGTGTATTTCCGTATGGGTCTAGTGCAATATTTGTATAGACCCATCAGCACTTGGCTGGTACATTTTCCATCTCACACAATACTGCTTACTCATATACAACATTTTCCATCTCACACAATACTGCTTACTCATAACATTTTCCATCTCACACAATACTGCTTACTCATATACAACATTTTCCATCTCACACAATACTGCTTACTCATAACATTTTCCATCTCACACAATACTGCTTACTCATATACAACATTTTTCATCTCACACAATACTGCTTACTCATAACATTTTCCACTCACATACAACATTTTTCATCCACAATACTGTCTACTCAAATACAACATTTTCCATCTCGTACAATACTGTTTACTCACATACATTAATGTCTACTCACATACAACATTCTACACTCACATAAACATTTCCCAGACACAACACTGTCTACTCACATACATTTTTCTCTCACATATAGCATTTTCCACTCACACACAACATTTTTCACTCACATACAACACTGTCTACTCACATGCAGCATTTTCTACTCACAAACAACACTGTTTACTCACACACACACACATTTTAAACTCACACAAAACACTTTTCACTCACAGACAACACTGTCTACTCACACACAACATTTTCCACTCACAAGCAACACTGGCTACTCACATACATTTTCCACTCACACACAACACTGTCTACTCACATACACCATTTTCCACTCACAAGCAACACTGTCTAATCATGTGCAACATTTTCCACTCACATACAATACTGTCTACTCTCTACTCACACACAACATTTCCCATTCATACACAACATTTTCCACTCACACATGACACTGTCTACACACATGCAACAGTTTCCACTCACACATGACACTGTCTACAACTGTCCCACTCATACACAACACTGTCTACTTACATGCAACAGTTTCCACTCACACATGACACTGTCTACACATGTCCCACTCACACATGACACTGTCTACACATGTCTCACTCACACACAAAACTGTCTACTCACATGCAACATTTTCCACTCACACATGACACTGTCTACACCTGTCCCACTCATACACAACACTGTCTACACATGCAACAGTTTCCACTCACATATGAGTCTACACACATGCAACAGTTTCCACTCACATATGAGTCTACACATGTCCCACTCTGATATAACATTCTCCGCTCATGCAAAACACTTATCCTCCTGTAACAAAACATCCCATCTGTGGTTGCTCACCAACTGCATGCCGCTAAGTTCATCCACCAGGCTGAGGTTGCCATGCAGCATCTTGGCCAAGTTGGCCTCAAACTCCTTCAACTGCTCCACAGTTTCATTCTTGGTTTCCTCGTACTCATCTGGATCCAGATCTGCCCTGAAATGACAGTCAGCAGTTTTAGATGTCACTGTCACAACATGCCAACACTAACTGATAGAAATAGCCAGCTACGGATAGAAATAGGCAGCTATGGATAGAAATAGCCAGCTACGGATAGAAATAGCCAGCTACGGATAGAAATAGCCAGCTACAGATAGAAATAGCCAGCTACGGATAGAAATAGCCAGCTACAGATAGAAATAGCCAGCTACGGATAGAAATAGCCAGCTACGGATAGAAATAGCCAGCTATGGATAGAATTAGGCAGCTACATATAGAAATAGGCAGCTACGGATAGAAATAGCCAGCTATGGATAGAAATAGCCAGCTACAAATAGAAATAGCCAGCTATGGATAGAAATAGCCAGCTACGGATAGAAATAGCCAGCTACAGATAGAATTAGGCAGCTACAGATAGAAATAGGCAGCTACGGATAGAAATAGCCAGTTACGGATAGAAATAGCCAGCTATGGATAGACATAGCCAGCTACGGATAGAAATAACAAGCTACGGATAGAAATAGCCAGCTACGGATAGAAATAGCCAGCTACAGAACAGGAGGTTTCTTTTACTAAAGAAAAAGAATTGCTTTTTCTCTCCATCAAACATTTGTCAGCTCCATGCCAGAAGTGATTAGAGACAGCTACTTTTAGTAGTCACCAACATCATTTATTTATTGCCAGGCAACTCACTGGCACTTGTTGGTATTCAGTGTCATGAAATACTTTTTTGTACTCTTGTGACCCATTGAGACCCTCCTCTATATTTGGTGATTTCCACTGAAAGGATCTACTTTTCAGATCTCTTATGACCCATCCCATTGGGATTCTGATATGCACTGATATAATCACCATCTTATCAGCTTATGTCCTTCATTGTTATCTGAGACTCAAATATTTACAACTTAAAGTAACAACTTTAAATAGACCAAATTAAAGTAATTTCTGCTTCATGCTGAAAGCGCTCAATCATCTAGCACCATTTCTCTCTGCCTGCCATAGCTTTCTCTATCACTGATTTTTTGTTTCCTCTCCAAGCATCACAATGATCTCCAATGCCTTTCTTCTCCAAGCATCACAATGATCTCCAATGCCTTTCTTCTCCAAGCATCACAATGATCTCCAATGCCTTTCTTCTCCAAGCATCACAATGATCTCCAATGCCTTTCTTCTCCAAGCATCACAATGATCTCCAATGCCTTTCTTCTCCAAATAATAGTCTCTTCCCCACAGCTGCCTACGATGTCTGACTCTGCTGAGCTTGTCCATGGCAATCACTGTTAGCTGGCCCAGCAGCTCAAGTTATCTGTCACATCAGACATCACAGCCGCACTGCCTGTCTGATACAACATCTCAGCACATCAGACATCACAGCTCCACTGCCTGTCTGATACAACATCCCAGCACATCAGACATCACAGCTCCACTGCCTGTCTGATACAACATCCCAGCACATCAGACATCACAGCCGCACTGCCTGTCTGATACAACATCCCAGCACATCAGACATCACAGCTCCACTGTCTGTCTGATACAACATCCCAGCACATCAGACATCACAGCTCCACTGCCTGTCTGATACAACATCCCAGCACATCAGACATCACAGCCGCACTGCCTGTCTGATACAACATCTCAGCACATCAGACATCACAGCCGCACTGCCTGTCTGATACAACATCTCAGCACATCAGACATCACAGCTGCACTGCCTGTCTGATACAACATCTCAGCACATCAGACATCACAGCTGCACTGCCTGTCTGATACAACATCTCAGCACATCAGACATCACAGCCGCACTGCCTGTCTGATACAACATCCCAGCACATCAGACATCACAGCCGCACTGCCTGTCTGATACAACATCTCAGCACATCAGACATCACAGCTGCACTGCCTGTCTGATACAACATCTCAGCACATCAGACATCACAGCTGCACTGCCTGTCTGATACAACATCTCAGCACATCAGACATCACAGCTGCACTGCCTGTCTGATACAACATCTCAGCACATCAGACATCACAGCCGCACTGCCTGTCTGATACAACATCCCAGCACATCAGACATCACAGCCGCACTGTCTGTCTGATACAACATCCCAGCACATCAGACATCACAGCCGCACTGCCTGTCTGATACAACATCCCAGCACATCAGACATCACAGCTCCACTGTCTGTCTGATACAACATCCCAGCACATCAGACATCACAGCCGCACTGCCTGTCTGATACAACATCCCAGCACATCAGACATCACAGCTGCACTGCCTGTCTGATACAACATCCCAGCACATCAGACATCACAGCCGCACTGCCTGTCTGATACAACATCCCAGCACATCAGACATCACAGCTGCACTGCCTGTCTGATACAACATCCCAGCACATCAGATATCACAACCGCACTGCCTGTCTGATACAACATCTCAGCACATCAGACATCACAGCCGCGCTGCCTGTCTGATACAACATCTCAGCACATCAGACATCACAACCGCACTGCCTGTCTGATACAACATCTCAGCACATCAGACATCACAGCCGCACTGCCTGTCTGATACAACATCTCAGCACATCAGACATCACAGCTGCACTGCCTGTCTGATACAACATCTCAGCACATCAGACATCACAGCCGCACTGCCTGTCTGATACAACATCCCAGCACATCAGACATCACAGCTCCACTGCCTGTCTGATACAACATCTCAGCACATCAGACATCACAGCTGCACTGCCTGTCTGATACAACATCCCAGCACATCAGACATCACAGCTGCACTGCCTGTCTGATACAACATCTCAGCACATCAGACATCACAGCCGCACTGCCTGTCTGATACAACATCTCAGCACATCAGACATCACAGCTGCACTGCCTGTCTGATACAACATCCCAGCACATCAGACATCACAGCTGCACTGCCTGTCTGACAAAACATCCCAGTGTCTCAAACCATCTCAGCCAGACATAACAATTTCACAGACATTCAAAATGTAAACAATAAACATAAAACAAACAGAATATAATTTGATATACGGTTGACTGAGTGACCCAGTTAATGAATGACGTAGTGTTAGACAACCCTGGACAAATTCATTATATTCATCTGCCGAAGCAGATTTCAAAGTGGATGAGGCAAGACTGTTCTTTTGGCTCAGAGATTAGGAATTAAATTCCTCAGTGATCAGGCCAGCTACAGCAACATCTTCACTTTTATGTGTCTTGCGAGACAGGTAGGGATTTATACTTCCTAATAGATCTCAGAACTTAGTGTCATGGCATATTCATAATAATCCTTACTGTAACCATCTTAGTTCATCTAGTACCATTTATCTTAGTTTGCCTCTTCTACCACTGATCTTTCCAGTCATGACAATGTTTTTCAGTGTGCCTCTTCTACCACCGATCTTTCCAGTTGTCACAATGTTCTTTAGTGTGCCTCTTCTCCTTACCTGACCAAGAAATCTGTATATCAATTAATCATTGCATATAATATTTAGCTTTTTTCTGGCAATCAGTAGAAACTCTTGCAGTCAAATGTATTTGCAGCATTCATCTCAGAAATGACACCTCTTCTGTTTCTATTCACTGCCTCCAAGCTCTTCCCGTTTTGTTTGTTCACATTCAAAATGTCACTGCCACATGGCAGAACACACCATTCCAGCAAACACACCATTCCAGCAAACACACCATTCCAGCAAACACACCATTTCCAGCAAACACACCCAGCAAACACACCATTTCAGCAAACACACCATTTCAGCAAAACACATTCCCAACACCAGCAGCAAACACACCATTTCAGCAAACACACCATTCCAGCAAACACACCATTTCAGCAAACACACCATTTCAGCAAACACCATTCCAGCAAACACACCATTTCAGCAAACACACCATTCCAGCAAACACACCATTTCAGCAAACACATCATTCCAGCAAACACACCATTTCAGCAAACACACCATTTCAGCAAACACATTATTCCAGCAAACACACCATTTCAGCAAACACATTATTCCAGCAAACACACCATTTCAGCAAACACATTATTCCAGCAAACACACCATTTCAGCAAACACACCATTTCAGCAAACACACTATTTCAGCAAACACACCATTTCAGCAAACACACTATTTCAGCAAACACACCATTTCAGCAAACACACTATTTCAGCAAACACACTATTTCAGTTCCCTCTGATATGAAAACAAAATAGCTACTGCTACAAATCATAGAAAATCTAGAAGGCAGAAATGTGTTGAGTCAGACAGATAAATGTGTTGAGTCAGACAGATAAATGTGTTGAGTCAGACAGATAAATGTGTTGAGTCAGACAGATAAATGTGTTGAGTCTGACAGATAAATGTGTTGAGTCAGACAGATAAATGTGTTGAGTCAGACAGATAAATGTGTTGAGTCAGACAGATAAATGTGTTGAGTCAGACAGATAAATGTGTTGAGTCAGACAGATAAATGTGTTGAGTCAGTCAGATAAATGTGTTGAGTCAGACAGATAAATGTGTTGAGTCAGACAGATAAATGTGTTGAGTCAGACAGATAAATGTGTTGAGTCCGACAGATAAATGTGTTGAGTCCGACAGATAAATGTGTTGAGTCAGACAGATAAATGTGTTGAGTCCGACAGATAAATGTGTTGAGTCAGACAGATAAATGTGTTGAGTCAGACAGATAAATGTGTTAAGTCCAACAGATAAATGTGTTGAGTCAGACAGATAAATGTGTTGAGTCCGACAGATAAATGTGTTGAGTCAGACAGATAAATGTGTTGAGTCAGACAGATAAATGTGTTGAGTCAGACAGATAAATGTGTTGAGTCAGACAGATAAATGTGTTGAGTCCGACAGATAAATGTGTTGAGTCAGACAGATAAATGTGTTGAGTCCGACAGATAAATGTGTTGAGTCAGACAGATAAATGTGTTGAGTCAGACAGATAAATGTGTTAAGTCCAACAGATAAATGTGTTGAGTCAGACAGATAAATGTGTTGAGTCCGACAGATAAATGTGTTGAGTCAGACAGATAAATGTGTTGAGTCAGACAGATAAATGTGCCTTCAACATCTGGGCAGGAGAAAAGTGAGTACCTACTTGCACTCTTCTAAATCTGTGAGTTGCTGCATCAGTCTGTCCAGCTGTTCCTCCAGGTTGTGCTTCAGCTTGGACGTTTCTTGAGCACCTCTCGAGGACATCTTTCTGATCTAACAAGCAACAATTTCTAGAAAGGCACTTCTGGAACATTCTGATATTAGTTTTCTAAGATCTGAACAATAATTGTACACATACAACACATTTATATTCTGAGCTGATGACAGTTCTCTACAACAAAACATTTCTGGACACTATTAAAAAAAAGAAGCCATTTGCATAAGGTCAGAGGTCATCAGGAAAGTTCAGAGGTCACCGGGAGTGTTCAGATGCTCCCATAATTAACTGATAGAAGTGAAGGATCTTGTTATAACACTTGAAAGTTTCCATGAGTGATCCGATCACATAAGCAAGTTCTCAACTCCATGAACAAACAAGCACATGTAACTGACACTACAGAGCATCTGTTTAGCATTGTCGGTGCACATTAGGTTCCACTATTTGAATTACAAGTTTGTGACTAACCACTGAACAGATACTAGTAGTCTTCTTCTCGCTTGCATTCACTAGCTGAATGTTTTGGTTGTTTGTCCACTTCTGAACTTTGGTCATGGTTCAGAATTGGAGTTTTGAGTGCACATCCACTTCGCAGATTTAAGTTTTTGGTACACAGTCTTTCTTGTTTCCTTGCCTCTCAAATAGATGCACTCCGACTGAAGGAACATTAGTAGTGATCTGGTGAATCCTCAAGATCCAGTCCAGCAGGTCCATAAGCACTGATGGAATTATTATTTCTAAGACCTCGAAAAAAAAACACCAAAACAACTCAGTAATTATGCAATATGATTTAGTTACATGTCCATTTTATGATTACGTTTGACTTATTCCTGAAGTGAAGATGTGGATATACAAATAAACAGGTTGTATTTCATGGAGACAAAAATGAGATGTGGATATACAAATAAACAGGTTGTATTTCATGGAGACAAAAATGAGATGCGGATATACAAAGAAACAGGTTGTATTTCATGGAGACAAAAATGAGATGCGGATATACAAAGAAACAGGTTGTATTTCATGGAGACAAAAATGAGATGCGGATATACAAAGAAACAGGTTGTATTTCATGGAGACAAAAATGAGATGTGGATATACAAAGAAACAGGTTGTATTTCATGGAGACAAAAATGAGATGCGGATATACAAAGAAACAGGTTGTATTTCATGGAGACAAAAATGAGATGCGGATATACAAAGAAACAGGTTGTATTTCATGGAGACAAAAATGAGATGCGGATATACAAAGAAACAGGTTGTATTTCATAAACACAAAAGAGCCTAGGAATAAAAAAGACAGCTGATAAAATAAGAGAAGTTAAGAAAAGAGGCAAGTGATATATTTTGGCGAAAATGAAAACAGATATAACACTTCTTTAAATAAATGTTACCCCATTATGAATGTGAACAAAGAAGAAACAAACAACTGACTGCACAATTTATTGCCTATTCAACTGCTACTATCGTATGCACATGATAACATACAGAAAATTATGCTAGACAAAAAATTAATATATTCTTTGGTATGTCTACTTCAGTTAATTAGTTAATCAGCAGATTATTCTTACTGCACATCGTATAAGTTGGCTATCCTCCGAATAACGGAGACATATTATGGCCGCCAAAAACACACCCTGACAGAGCCTCATTAGGTTGTGTTGTAAACATTAAAAAACTTGAACTCGAAAATAATGGGGAACGAAAAAAATGGGAAAATGATGAAATCGACTACTTAGCGATAAATGAGGCCTTTATATCTGAAAATTGTGGCAGAGAAGTTGCAAATAGTGCCCGAAAATCTGCTCTTTGTGGCTGTGGCACCATTGAAACTCTGCTAAATATGATTGGAACAAGCTGCAGCTAGTGCAGCATTGGTAATGCAGTTTTCACTGCCGAAAGCATCCCCTGTTAAACTAGATGGCTGGGTCTCATGAGCAAATAAAATAAGGAAGCTGCACGATGCGGTAGCTGCAGCTAGTGAGTCCCAGCCATCTAGTCTAGACCCACTACGCGCTGCACAGGAAAAACTCTTGGTGACAAGTTTAACTCAGTGATTTGTTGCGTTTTGCTACATCATTGCCAGAAATTTATCATACTTTTGCCACGGTATATTCGCCAGAAGGAAATCTGCAATTTACATGTGATTGAGGCCCTGTCAGGGTGTGTTTTTGGCAGCCATAATATGTGGCCGTTATTCGGAGGATAACCTACAAGTCTATTAAATGCTCAGATCCCATCTTCAGTGTATCCCTCAGCATGTGACAACAGATAACACCAGTTCTGTGCTGGTTTACTATTTTTCTTTGGCTACCTCTGTTTGGCACCACCTCTTTTGACCTGAAGTTCTTGTAATCTTTTGAGTGTTGCCGATTCAACTTCGTCTCCTGTAACATCTTCTCGTCCTGCCTCCTTGTAGTATGAGAAATTGCCATAGTTCAACAAGAGTAAGACAACGATACAAGTGGGAGGAGAGAATAACAAGATAGACAAATACTTCAAATAGCAGTCTGTGTACAACTGTAAACTGTCCATGTTTTTTCTATAACTTATAACATTTTAATAAATAGAAATTAAACAAGAGAGTGGGCAGTCAAGGGTTGTTGCAGCCGATCTAATCTTTAGTGCTGGCACAGGTACTCAGAACTTAACTGAACTAAAACAAGCGCATATTGAGCCAGCATATTACAAGAAATGTAAAATCAACCTTGGTGACGTTTTTGGAATGTACCAACAAATGTTGACTGTCAACAAGTGGTGTCTGTATGGCGATGACTACCACCCTCTCTCAGCTGATATCTCTTGATGTCAGAGTCACTGCCCTTGATTTAATTGAAAAGTTGGACAGAAACGAAACAATAAATACAGGGCAGATAAAGACCTTCTTTTTGTATGTTTGTGTTGTTTGTGATTGTGTTGTTTCACAGATCTATAATAAAGCAAACCTATAAATCTTTGATGACAGCAAAAATTGGTTTCCGAGGAATTGGCAAGGATTGTCACGAAAACCGAAAGGCACAGTCCTTCAAGAAATAGATGACAACGGCAGATTAACTAGGAATTCAAATGTCATTGTTGAATCTTCTTCTTCGGGGTACATTCATCGCCGGTAAACTCAGCCAGACATTTATGGTTGTTCGTCCACTTCTGGACTTTGATCTAGTTCTAGAGCTAGAGTTTTCCATGCACGTCTATTTACATTTATGTTCAACAGATTGTTGGGTGAGACCAAGAAACAAGATAAGTTAACCAACTGCTGATGGGTACAGTGAGCATACAGAAACTGAGATAGCTGTTGTATCGGAGGACGGAGCATGAATGGACGGCACCGATGAGCTAGGAAACCGTTACCCAAAATCAGTTAACAAGACTCCGTCTCAATAGCCCAACAAACGTGACATGACGGATCAGGTCTCTTCTGTATTGAAGAAACTTCTCGTGCACTGTGTGAAAGGCTCGTTTCGTTGCTTCAGTTTGCAGCTCGGTATCTACTGCTATGTTACCTACGGCGGAACATGGTACGTGGGTGCACCAACTGGAGCCGAGAGACAGCAAAACCGAGCTGGAGCCACCCATTGTTACATTAACCAGAACAGAATGGAAGTTGTTAGCCTAAAAACACTTGGAGACATACCCAGGAGGAGATCGGATGTCTTATGGTCATCTCCGATGTGCTATAAAGACGTTTTCTAACATGAACTATCAACTAAGACACCTACCAACCTGATTAGTTTGATATGTACGCGGAGATGATCAAGATTTGGTAGATATTTTATTTTACTCCTCTGCCTTTAAAGCTCCATTGGAGTATAAGCCAAACTCACAACAAACTCACGTCAAGCCGGCCTATCTTTTGTTATCTCAGTCCTCGTTTCATATTTTAGATGTCTTTCTACCAGGCTGGCTTTTGCCGCTACATTTTGTACAGAGCAGAATAGCCAATCCCAAGACTAGCCATCAATTAGTCGTCTCTTACGGCTTACATAGTACGTGGTAGTTAATATTCTTTTTTTGCGCAAAGTTCCGCAGTTGCACACTGGTGTCTAAATGGCAGCTGGCCCACTTGTAAGTAGGTCATAATTGACGGGTGACGAACTCCTTGTGGTCCGGGTTCACTCCCGGGGGTAGGCAGAAAAGCCACATTTCTCCCAGATTAACGGTACCTATAATGGAATCAAGGCCGAAGGGTTGCGATATCCATAGTACCGAGCCAAAGGGTTTACAACTCATGGTTTCTGGATACGTTAAAAAAAAAAAAATAGACGAAAAGCCATGTGAGAATGCAAGTAGGTCATGAATGACTGCAATATACATAGACAGAGAGGCATGTTAGGATGTAAGTAGGTCATCAATGACTGCAATACACACGGACGGAGAGGCATGTTATGATGTAAGTAGGTCATGATTACAACACATACAGACGGAGAAACTCGTTCATCGGGCTGGCTGAGGCAGACTAACACGAAGATGGGCACATGATATAAGTGACTTCTTGGCTTTGAAACCACACAGCCGGGAGAGTTGGCGAGAGACCGAGTTTGTTTCAGGCAGACCGTGATGAGAGCGATGTTCTGCAAAGAACCTGCTACTCAATATCGAATCTGCTCAGAATGCACTAAAATTGAAGGAAATAATGGGATACACTCAAACTGACCGTCGAGGCCTAGGTCACGGAAAGGTCATTTGGTGGTCCAAAGCCACAGCCAAAGAGCGCCTAGACATGGTGAAACAGCAAGTAAGGGACAACGAAAACGAGGTTAGGGTCCAGAAAGCAGCCCAGCAGTCGCAGCAGGGCCATTGGGTCAGCCTGGAGAGCTCATTGTCAAGAGTAATCACATGGGGTGAGATCTGGCGAATGACCCCGCTGCGACTGAGCTTTATCATTCGTTCTGCGTACGATGTATTACCGACCCGACATGCCCGTTGTGCAGAGCGAAGCAGACGTTAGAACACGTACTGTCCGCATGCAGAAAACCCCTAGGTCAAGGCCGATACACCTGGCGACACAACAAGGTGCTAAAAGAGTTGGCAGCTGTTGTGGACCAGGCTA